AAGACGTCCGAGAGCTTCTTCATTCAGCTAGTATTGCCATGGGGGCTAATGGTATGTTGACGTCATCCACTGCGATCTCAACAATTGCGATTGCGCCGTCTTCTCTATTGCATTCTGTATTGGCACTTTCCTCTGCACCGGTTGATCAAGAGGCTTCTATTATTGATGCACCTGTTGTTGGTTTTGTTATCGTATCCGATGTTGATGAAACCAGAGGGCGGCTAACGCTGACTGCACCTGCTCCCGGACGTCTTCCAAAGTCTTTTTTAATTTGGTCCCCATCCTCTTCCCTTAAGTGCGCAATGCTCAAGTAGTACGCCACGGGACCCTTTAAGTTAACTATGCACCTGTTTCCGCCACATATCTATTAAAATACAGCGGTACAATGTAAAATATTAGTACTTTGTAATCTGGAAAGTTTGCCTGTGTTTTTATCTCGGATACCTTTATGGATATTTTTGATGAGCATGCGTCTGGCGAATAACTTCAGTTTAGAACTGCGTCTTCTTTTGGGAGAATGGCATCCCTATGTCAATTGTTAATGTTCCGAAGAGTATCATCCTATTAATTGGGATTACAATCCTTTTTTGCGGAATCATCTCTTCTTTGTTAGAACGCCAATCGGTTTATTTTTACTCGGCAACTTATCATTCCGCTTCTTCTACAACAGCTTAGAACTTTGATGGATTGTGTTTCGAGGAACATATATACTGGCTGTACTTGTGCAAAGGTTCTCAACATCAGCTCGTCTTCACTTTTGGCAAACTTGGGTTTAAATTCTGGATTTCAGTTTCCTCTCCAAAGGGTCTCTTCAGACTTGATAGTCCTTCAACAATATCAATTTAATATATGAGTACTTTGTAGCTTCCGTGTTGCCAACGCAACAGACCAGCCCTTAATGTGTTACAGATTCTCTAAAAATTTTGACAAAATTTTATGCCTTTCAGGTCCTGTTAGTTTTGGCCTTTCATTAACAGCAAATGATCTTTTTTACAGGGCAGATTAGATCCCAAGTTATGAGAACTCTATTTTATTTGAGATAACTCTAAGACACTATATTCACACCATGGCGATGCATTTAGCATTCAATATAGCCCGCTTCGTCCATTTTCTCTGCCATTTTCTTTTTTCCTCGTGCTTACTGATGTCATTTGGCGAGTTGCGATGAATTTTAGCGAATTTATGCGAGGGGTTGTATTTCTAGCAACTTCCTTTTTCAGAAATCGCATCGCTTCAACTGAGTTAATTGTAAACAACATGACTTCTGAATCAATTTTATCATCGACTGTGATTCCATTTATAACAGCTACGATTCCTTTTACCAAATATGCTTCTGCCTCCAAACTTTTGTTTATCTTTTCTTGTATTTCGATTATTCTGGCGAGTGCCGCGAACCTGCATGGGTATCTTTGCAAATGTTCACCATTATAGCGCTTTGGGTTTTCAATTTTCTTAAAACTTCATTCCCAATTCCATAAATATAGATTTTGACGAAAAATCTGCAATACGAACCACTAGAGATCTCAACACTCAAAGCCAATCCTCTTTAGATCTTGATAATCCTCATATTTGTATTGCTTACTGTGACTGCAGCTTGCAATGAGGCAATCTTTTCCGATCTACTCCTGCATTCAATTTCGCCGACCTGCGTATTTTATGATCTTTGTTTTCTATTTTTGATCTATGCCGTTGTCTTGCAATTAGACACACGCCGACTCGCAGATATCTGCAAAAAGAGAGGGGAAAAGATTGCATAATCATCAAGTGAATAAAACAAATTATTATCTTTGCTTTGCATATGCCACATAGACGGCCATTTAACTAAAGGAGTTAAGGAGCTCCTTTGCGGTTAGTTAAACCCATCCATCGTGCACATCGGCAATTATTACGATGCAGCTTTAAATTTTAAAATATCACACACTTGGATGGGCTTTACCGCTTTGCCACCTAAGCTACTTGCACATGTTTCACTTTCTCCGCTAAAACAGCCTCAAGCATGGGTCAGAAGGTTTCAAACATTCGATCCCATCGGTATCAAGCCTCTTCCATCGTCTTTGTTTGCTTGCCCCATCAGACCAGACCTAATTCAACGGGTTACTGTGTGGTATAGAACCGGGATCCGATCAGGAACCGCCTGCACTAAAGAGCGAGGTGATGTTCGTGGCTCGATTCGAAAACTTTATGCCCAAAAAGGAACAGGTCGGGCCAGAGTGGGTGCTTCTAGAACTAACAAGCGCGTTGGGGGTGGTATTTGCTTTGGTCCCAAGCCTAAAGATTGGGCTTTTCATATGCCCAAAAAAATACTCTCTATCGCTTTTCGTTCAGCTTTATCAGCAAAATATTTGCAAAACGAGTTAGTTATTATCAGCCCTACTTCTCTTAAAGAGAGCAATTCCATTTCAAGCATTTTAGCCTCTGTATATGGTAAATATTCTGGGAGTCGCATTATGATTTTGGACTCAAAACCGCCCACTTCTCACATTGCGGACCAAATCGCCCAATTAGAAAACATTGTGATTATGTCGCCTAGAGACAACGTCAATGCATATCATTTACTAGATAACAAGCTTCTATTTATCACAACTAGAGCGATAAGCTTCTACTCCAGAATCCATAATGACAACCATCTTGTTGCCAAATAAATTAATCAATTCACAATTTTATTGATGACAAAACAGAAAAAAACCGGCTCAATCAAGCTGATTAATTATTAGGCTCGCTCTGCGCTTAATTTAGTGGCTGCAGCCTTTTGCTGTTTTTCTCTCATTTTCTCAGCATCGCTAGAGGTAATCATTGAAGAGCATACGCTGTCTTTTTCTGTTCTAAGCTTTGGCCAGGTTTAAGAGTTGTGCCCCCATTTGCAGATTGTTGTTTCTTCAAAGCCCTCATTCTGGCCAATTCTCGTTGATTACCTCGTGTCATTTTTGTGGTACGTTAACGAAAGATAAAATTTAAAATTAAATTAAATTAAATTAAATTATCAATTTGATCAGATCAAAGTTTAGACAATTCTTAAATCTCAATCAATGGCATGTCATAACGTACCAGCATCGTCCGCAGAATGTGCACCCACGCTACAAGGTAATTTACACATTTGCTTATAAGTCTGCAGTTCTTAAACCAGCGCCAGATTTCTCTGCAACTGCTCTTATTGATGGAAAATTTGCTCCTGTAAAACTGAGTGATTTCAAAGGAAAATACCTTGTGCTCGTTTTCTACCCACTTAATTTTACATTCGTTTGCCCCACAGAAATTATTGCATTTAATGAGAGGATTAAAGAGTTTTCTGCTCTTGGCGCCCAAGTAGCCGTTGTCTCGGTTGACAGCATTTACTCTCACCTTTCCTGGGTCAATATGCCAAGATCTCAGGGTGGATTGGGAACCATAGATATTCCAATGATCTCAGACCTTAAAAAGTGCATCTCCCGTAAATACGGAGTTTTACTAGAGGAAGAAGGCCACTCTACGCGTGGTACGTTTATCATCGATCCCACTGGAATTCTTCGCCATTATTCTGTTAATGAGCCAGCTGTTGGACGTTCAGTTGATGAGACTCTTCGTTTGCTAAAGGCCATACAGTTTACAGCAAAGCATGGAGAGGTGTGCCCTGTCGATTGGAAAGAAGGTGAAAAGACTATCAAAGCTGATCCCAAAAAGTGCAAGGAATACTTTGCCGATAAATACTAGGGTTATCAATTAAGGATTAAATCTCAATTTAAAATGGTAAAATGCGTCCAGAATATTCTGGAAAATGGGTTTGTGATTTTACATTTTGCACAAAGCTATAAAAATCAGGGCTATTAAAATTTTCTTTACACAACAAGCGAAAAGATGGGAAAAGAAAAGACTCACATTAATGTCGTCGTCATCGGTCATGTAGACTCTGGAAAATCTACCACAACTGGTCATCTGATCTTCAAATGCGGAGGCATCGACAAGCGTGCTATTGAAAAGTTCGAAAAGGAAGCCAACGAAATGGGAAAAGGATCCTTCAAATACGCCTGGGTTTTGGACAAGCTCAAGGCTGAGCGTGAACGTGGTATCACCATCGATATTGCTCTTTGGAAGTTTGATACCCCCAAATATAACGTTACTGTCATCGATGCTCCCGGACATCGCGACTTTATCAAGAATATGATCACTGGTACCTCTCAGGCAGATTGCGCCATTCTCATCATTGCCTCTGGTCCTGGTGAGTTTGAGGCTGGTATTTCAAAAGACGGACAGACAAACGAGCATGCTCTTCTTGCCTATACCCTCGGCGTTAAACAGATGGTTGTTGCAATCAACAAAATGGACACTTGCGACTGGTCTGAGAGCCGTTTCAATGAAATCAAAGGAGAAGTGGGCAAGTTTATCAAGAAAGTCGGCTACAATCCTGAATCTATTGCTATGGTTCCCATCTCTGGATGGCACGGTGATAATATGATGGAAAAATCTACTAAAATGCCCTGGTACCAAGGATTCCAAGTGCAACGCCTTGTTCCCGGAACCAAAGAGTCGGTCACAAAGAAAGGAGTCACTCTTCTCGATGCTATCGATTGCATTGATCCACCAAGCCGTCCAACTGAGAAGCCACTTCGTCTTCCTCTTCAAGATGTCTACAAAATCGGAGGTATCGGAACTGTTCCAGTCGGTCGTGTTGAAACAGGTATCATCAGACCCGGTATGGTTGTCAGCTTTGCTCCATCTGGTGTCTCTACCGAAGTTAAGTCGGTTGAAATGCACCATGAATCTCTTACTGAGGGTCTCCCTGGAGACAATGTTGGCTTCAACGTCAAGAACGTTACTGTCAAAGATATTAGACGTGGAAATGTTGCCTCTGATTCAAAGAATGATCCCGCTAGAGAATCTGCTTCCTTTACTGCCCAAGTCATCATTATGAATCATCCTGGTGAAATTGTTGCTGGATACACCCCAGTGCTTGACTGTCACACCGCCCATATTGCTTGCAAGTTTGTTGAGCTGAATGATAAGCTTGACCGTCGCACTGGAAAGAGTGTTGAGATCAACCCCAAGTCTGTCAAGTCTGGTGACGCCGCTATTGTCAAGCTTGTCCCAACTAAGCCAATGTGTGTCGAGTCATTCACTGAATACCCGCCCCTTGGTCGTTTTGCTGTTCGTGATATGAAGCAAACTGTCGCAGTTGGTGTTGTCAAAGCTGTTGAAAAGACCGATCCTAAGAAGCCCGGTGCTGCTGGAAAGGCCGCCGCTCCTGCCAAGAAGAAGTAAAATAAACGGCTAATCTATTAAATCAGTCTAGAGTTTTAATTATTTGTGTTTCCCCCACCTCTTGGTCATGTGTGTTAAACAGCTTCATGCAAAACGATGAACTTAAACCGCAGGTGGCAATAGCCTTTGATGGAAACCCAGCACATAGTGAAAGATTCTCAAAGGTAAATTTTGAGAAATAGGTACAGAACATAAAAAGAAGTTGTCGGCACAATTTATGCTTCGATTCTCAACAGGCTGTTAAAAACAGAAAGAAAATGTTCTGCTTTTCTGTGGACGTGCTACTCTAAGCAATCCAATATTAGTGAATCGAGAATAGCTAAAGAAGGGCCCACTGATCCTCTTATAAACATATGTTGGAAACATAATAACGACCAGAAAGTGTCCAACTGAAATATTCAAAGAATGAATAATCGCAAATTAGTATAACAGAAAAAATAATAGTCTTAGAGAAAATTCTAAAGCAGAGGCTTGTTAAGAAAAGATTTAAGCTAGAAAGGATATAGGAAGTCGATATCAAGATAAAACACAAGCACAATTGCAGGACATGGAGGTCAATGGATAATTTAGTAGATGGATTCTCTATAAATACTTTAAGCAGAGTTATTGCAACACTTACAAAACCACAATCCATTAAGAGAAGATGGCGTTTCACAAATTGCAAAAATCTAGTAAAATATCATTCGGAAGTTTCAAAATAACTTATCGTGCAAGCTAGAAAAAACACGACGATCCATGCAAGAAAAGAACACAGCTTTTATGAAGGATGCAAAACTCTTTCCATAATGCTACCCTTTGCAAAGGCTCCAACAGGCTCTACAGGCCAACTTTAAACCATATATATAAAGGAGATAAACTCATCCCAAGATTTATTATTTCTTTGAGTCACTACATCTTAAGAATATATTTCTTTTTTAGAAAAGAATAAACGAAAGCTCAAGCTGACTCTCATAATCTCTAACTCTACATTTCAGCGTTTTAAATGCCAAAATCTATGTCTTTTGACGAGAAAAAATTGATTTATTTTCAGCTGAATATGCATATAGCCCCACCGTAATCCTAAAATGTGATTTAACTCGATTTTTAATTTGATTGTCAAATAAACATCTTTTTTAACCAAATTAGCGTGAATATCTAAATCAATTTCACTAAAATACCGTTTTAATTACTTTTTCTTTAATCGTTTATAGAATATTATACCATAAAATTGTCTGCCAAACCGGTGTAAAGGTTATTTCAGAGTTGGAGACAACTGATATGAACATTCTAGTGTCATAAATTGGAAGAGCGCCAAGGGTCTTGTCATGGGATACACAAAAATATTATTTCGAGCTGTTGGAATGCTTTTCAAATGCAAATTTGAAGCCCAGAAATAAGAGCAAAAAGTTTATTAATGATTGTTTGTAGATGTTTATTTAGCAAAGAAAAAATGGAAAATCTATCGAAAGTTCTCCTCGAAGCATTAAGAGATGCATATTATAAATTATAATTGATTCATTCCGACTATCCAGAAGAATCATGCCTTAGACTTTCCAATTAAAATTAATATAGTTTGTTATGACTAAGGGGGCTATTTGATAAGAGGTACCAACCTTAAACTATAAATGGAAAATAATTGAATAAAAATCACAATATAATAATTGGGTTTCTTTGAATATAGTCGTTTTCTTTTCAACCAACCAATTAGCCATGGCATGAATGATATGCGCAAATCGGTCTTTCCTATCCAAATGGTTGTGAGGGCAAATTATTGTCCGTTGGGTTGCAAAATTTCGGCCCATTGTCTGATTGTACGCACACATGTGCCTAGTAAACAATGACTAGATTTTTTGAGTTCTGCAAGGTTAATGGCCAGACGTCTGAATGTCCCATTTGCGGTTAGCGGAGTTAGTCGATCGTATTTTCTCTGTACGATGCTGCAGTTAGCCATATTCTGCATGTTGGACACGTTAGACACGTTAGCCATATTGTACATGTTGGACATTTGCGGATGCATCGACTCGCCTTTTCCAGTGCGCGTCTGCAAGTGCCACGTCCGCTTTGAATGTTGGACCAGTGTTTTTGCTGCAA